GGTTAATCGACTCTTCCTATGAAAACATTGACTCTCCATGAACAAAAAGCAGGCAAGGAAGTTGGGAAAGGGTATGCTGTTGGGTAAGGAAGATTCAGCATTCTCTTTAAATCACTGTTTTTTGAGAAGATCTCTTGAAGTTCTTAAACTTTATCATGAAAAGCCATCCGTTGCCTTTGGCTTGGATAGTCGTGCTCTCTTTGGCCATTCCTTAGTGCCAACCTTACAATTCAATGTTGCCGTTTCTTAATGGCCAACTGGAAAAAAATTTTTTTTTGGGGGGGGGGTTGTTGATACTGGACAGGAAAAGAGTAGAACTTTCAAAATTTCTAAAACTGCTGCTCTCTTTACTTTCCTAAAGGTTGATCAGGAGCAGTTTAGCAAGGTTATGTCCCTGATAGAAAGTGGAAACAAGGAAGGTGCCAATATGGTCTTTGGAGGAGGGAGGCATGGTGACAAAGGCTACTTTGTGCAGCCCACCGTCTTTACTGATGTCCAAGATCACATGAGAATTGCAAAGGAAGAGGTGCACTAATTGACTGAATTGGTCGTTAAAATATTAATAAGATGACAGAAGCTATTAGCGAACTAATGACTATAATTTTGTGTTGTGTCAGATTTTTGGACCCGTGATGCAGATCATGAAATTCAAGGACATGAACGAATTGATTGAACGAGCTAACAATACCATTTATGGTTTGGCTGCCTCTGTGTTTACCAAGGACATTGACAAGATGAATACTATTGCCCACAGCATCCGTGCTGGCACTGTTTGGTGAGTATCAGATTTAAGGAACACCTTACTCCACAAGTTAATTGAATGAATTCATTATATTTCCATATGGGAACGTGTGTTTCTCTCCTGTTACAGGGTCAACTGTTACGATGTTCTGGATGTCCAAGCGCCATTTGGTGGCTTTAAAATGTCTGGATCAGGGAGGGAATTGTGAGTTCTCGTATTTGATGCTGCTTTCTCTCACAGCTTCGTGCAATGTTCCCAAAATACCCGCCATAAATAACATCTCACGCTCATAAGGAAATTCTGCTTATTTTATTTCTATCTATTTTCTTATTTGATACTTATTTATTTATTTTTATTTTATTTATTAGGGGAGAGTATGGTCTTGAGCAATATTCGGAGGTGAAAACGGTAGGTGACAATTTATGGAAACTGTGCTTTCTCCACTTGTGTGTTCATAGGATCTATAGGTGGTGTTCCACGTAGTGTCCACGGAAACATAAACCCTTCCATCTTATCCAGTCCCTGATAAAGCAATAAGCACGAACTAAAACACCATTAAAGGTTAAGGGTTATTTTAATTCTTATAATTTTGTTTTTGTTGGTTATGCGCTCCGACGCCCTGGCAATCACTAAGTCTATCGTCTGATCGTAAAGTTCACCTCTCTTCCTACCTTGTCTTTTCTGTTCAGTAACTTGTTGTTCCTTGTTTTGACAGATAACGATCAAGCTCCCGCAGAAGAATTCTTAAACAGCTGAGTGGTAAATCGAATGCTCTGAACCTTGAAATGTCTTCGAAACCATTCAGTTCAGGCGATTTTCATAAGTTATTTAATACGTCCCTAATTCTCAAACCCAAAGTCTAGCACTCAGTTAACGTAACTTCGACAATTTTTTGTACCGTAATCGTAAGGAACTTCAACAGACTTTTCTTTTCTTAAATATGCTCAACTTCTTAAGCTGTGACTCGCATTGCGTGGAAAAGGTAGCCCAGTATGATTTAGAAATTTATATCATGTTCAACTAGCCCAAACGTTCTACACCTCACTGGACGACAAATACATACAGTCATGTAATTGTCCAGTTAGTACAGTTAGTGCTCGTAGTCCAAATTAAAATCTCTTTTTGTAATCGCAATGATAAATCGTAGCTTAATAAAAAGAAACCACCTTCTGATTTTTTTTTAATTTTTAATCTACATATTCACCGCAGAACCTCTTCATCGTCGATTCTCACGTTGACGTTACTTGCGCAATGCAACTTGAGGGGAAACAATTGTAAAAATTTTTGAAGGATTCTCTTTTGTTAAGAGTCACGTCAGGCGAACCATCAGACTATTAAAATGATGCAGAAAAATAACACTGAAAAAGTAAAATAGGTAAACGAACACACAAACAAGTCTACTGACCTGGTAATAGGGATAATGAGGGTTCACGGTTGTTTCGTACCCACGGTCGTTTCGTACCCAGCTCGGTCGTTTCGTAGCCAAACTAATAAAGTATATTTTCCATGTTAAGTACGGAGAAAGTATGGACGGTTCTTATTGTGAATAGAAATATTACCTGCGTTAAATAAGTTTTGTTGACATGGTGAGATGACCGCTTGGGGATACGAATTTTATCTTCGAGTGCTGAAAGCATCTCTAACGAGTGAGCGAAGCGAGAGAGATACTCCATAGTATTTCCCCTGGTCGCGCCTCAAAAAGGGACTCCATGTAAACAAAACTTATTTAACGCAGGTAATATTTCTATTCCCTATAAGAAACCGACCATATTTTCACCATACTTAACGTGGAAAACATACTTTATTAGTTTGGCTACGAAACGACCGAGCTGGGTACGAAACGACCGTGGGTACGAAACAACCGTGAACCCTCATTATCCCTATTACCGGTCAGTAGACCTGTTTGTGTATTCGTTTACCTATTTTGGAGAGATACTATTTTTGAGAGATACTTTCAGCACTCGAAGAAAAAATTCGTATTCCCAAGCGGTCAAGTAATGTTCTGTTTATTTTATAGATACTGATGAAATTCCTACACTTTCAGATGAAATACAAATCGACTCAAACTTGGGTACGAAACGACCTGATACCCTAATGAGAAGTGTGATGATGATGTTAATTTAAATTATGGAATCAGTATCATCCCTCGTTAACCGTAGCGTTAGAATATTGATATTGAAGTTTTAAAATGCCGTAAACACAACTTTAGCGCCCTTTGACATAAACTGATCATATTTTATTACGAAATACGAAAGCAAAGATAAAGAAGAGGAAAAGTGTTGAAAGGGAATACACTATGCTGAAAAATACGTCACCATCTTGCGACAATGCCCTGTCACCTACTTATCAGCATAAGCATGTTTTGGCACAACTGTACCTGATGCTTACTTAAAAGTTCGAAATTCGTTGTTCACGATTAAAAATAGATCTATTTATTCAATAGGGACAACAGTAGAACCCGTAGTTCTTGGCTTAATCAGTCAACCGCAAAACAAAGAGAAGTTTCTTTGTAGTGTGGTCAACTCAATTTACATGACCATCACATTAAATCTGACCATTTCTTAATCGCTTTGTCCCAGCTCCAGAGGGAAATAAGTTAATTTTTGTCAGGAATGTTGGCTGACGATACATTAAGCAAGCTATACTCCTGGATTCTAATAGGAATGTTGCGAGAACGAATTTGGCCCTCTTGAAAAAACTCGGCGAACCTACTCACTGTTATCAAGCGATTACTAAGATATGCAATTTTCGTTTACATGATTCTCCTCTGTGTAACCGTTAGCAACTTCTTTTGAGCGAAATTTTTGCTTTGTTTCATTCCACTGGGAAAAACCAAAAGCACAATATTCCAGTTGTAAAACCAACTCGATTAAGTCGAATTATCTTTACGGCTAAAAATGAGTAGAGAACTTTTATACAGCGCTGGTGTGTTTTTCTGTCCAATCTCATCTTTGCCAGATTTGATCGAAAAGGGAAAGATCTCTTGCCTCGAGGATAGTCTTTTCTTCGACAGCGAAATTCAACCGGGATGGATTCATTTTAACTCAGACAAGGTTACAATTCTATCAAGTAATGAAATGTTCGAGCCGATTCTTCAAGTGCCTCATCTCTTCCACCCTGAAGAACACACCTTCAAAATAAACTCGGACGTTGATTTGAGGAATTTGATAGCGTTGTTTAAGAAACCGCTAATCATGTGCGTTACGAGGAGACAAGAAGACGAGGCCATGATCAATGGCTTCGACACGGACTTCGTTATCGTTTTCGACCCTTCGGATTCCAAAGTTGCGCAAGAACTTTCAAGAGTAACCGAATATGTCGAAAAACATCTTCGTAAAAGAAAGAAATTTCACCTTACGATAGATTTATCAGAGAAGCTTGACGAAATATCACCGTTGGATTTCAAGAAACACGTTATGTGGTTGAATTGTTTTTTTCACGTCACAAATTACCATGCACCCAATCCCGTTTTGACCCTGGACATCTTCTATCTTTGGTTCATTCTTCTGCCATGTTGTATCGCCGTTGCATTGCCTTACAGACTCTACAGAAAGCTGCGCTGTGTGGACAGGAAAATAGACTTGAACATTCAGTTCTTTTTGGAAGCGACAGATTCCGTGCCTTTAGCTTTGTACTTCTTCTCTGGTTGCCCGCCCAACCCCGGTCGTTACCGAACTGAAAGCCACAAATACCATTTGCGAGCCTGCCCTGGGACAGAACTTAGATCATTGCTCTACTTAATGAACTGCTAGTACTCAATATGGTTTCTCTGACACAGGCCTTCTCCAAATCTTCGTCTTCGATTCTTGTGTTAACGCAACTTGCATTTGAAGGGAAACAAGTGATTTTTTTCATAGGTTTTCTTTTATTAACAATCACTTCCGGCGGAAGTTCAGACACTCAAAATGAAGCAGAAAGAAAAAACACTAAATTTAGAATAAATAAAAGAACAAGCAAACAAATCAACTGACTCAGTAATAACGATAACGATGATTATGATGATGTTAAGTTAGATTAATGCATTGATATTGATAATGACGGTGATGTACAGTCGCACCCCGCCATTCCACAGGGTGACCTGGGGCCCGTTTCTTGAAGGTCCCGGTAACTTAACGGGCCCGTAAAGCTGTTCTGTCTCATTCAAGGTTAATCAAGATGGGGATATCAAAAGTTTTGAAAATTATACAATAAACCTATCTGCTAAATAGTGACTGTAGCCGTTATTCTCACGTAACTTGTATACGAATCACATGTCAAGCGAAACAAGTCACGTACCTGTATTCCAACTGTGTAACCTGGCCGACAAGTTTTTCACATGTCAAACGGTTACCTGGCTTAGTGGTCACGAAACGGGGAATGACAGGGAGAACAAAGTATGTGACTTGAATTCCAGATGACTTTAAAACGTCCAGGAGGTATATGATCTGATGGAAACTGCTTTCGGTTGACTGATAACAGACTAACAACATAAACCAAGCGTGAAATGATTCACTGGAATTCTCGACCAAGCCAGGATGAACTACAAGGTCACGTAGCAGGGTAACGTTAGCCCTTAGGTGAAATTTTATCTCGGAGTACATATGTGCAGTCTTCTAAATTGCTAAAAAAATCTGTCGTTCGTCGTAACTTACTGTACTCTCCTAAAGAAACTCGCTGTCTGTGAGGCTGTCACTTTACCTGTATCTGGAATTTGAAGTTGCGCGGTATGTCAACTCCGCAAATGCTCGAATTTTGCAATATCCTCTTACGTAACACGAGAGAAATGTTGTGATTTTCATAACTGATAATTAGTAAAAATGCGAGTAATGTCAAAAACGGGATTAAACGGAAAAACTAGCCTGCTGTTATTTTCATCGTCTCAAATCTTTTCTTTTTAATTCACTGGGAGTGAATTAAAAAAATAGCTGAATTTTGAGTTCAAATCAATGCAGAGACCGACCAAACGGGCTCCTTTCAGTAATTAAGCTCAAAGAGCTTTTATCTATTGTCCTTACAATGCTTCCGATAAAGACTTTCATTTACAAGTCATTAGTCATCGGCGTCGTTCTAGAATACCTTACCGAACAATACAAAGTGCCTCTGCATAAAGACTAAGCGTGATTAGCTCTAAAGTCTATAAGACCCACTTTCGCTCTGCACGGCTGCACCAGTTCCTGAAGACCACGACTTTAGAAGTAATGGAGAACCTTTCCCCAGAAGTACTGATGTTTCCCATAACATCATTGCCATTCATTTTGAACAGCAGACCAGAGCTGCAAGAGGGCTTTCTGCTCGATTTCGAAATCAGACCTGGCTGGATTGTATACAATCCAAACGTGGTAACTGTTCTGTCCTGCAATCAAATGTTCCAACCTGTGTACGAATTGGAGCCAATTTGGAGTTCAGACAAACAATTGTTTAGAATCAAAAGTACTGACGATCTGAAAGACTTGAGGGTCATGTTGAGCAAGCCGATAGTGTTCTGTGCCACCAGAAGACAAGAATGTGAGGCAATGATCAACGGATTTGATACGGACTTCGTAATACTGCTGGATCCTAAACATCCAAATGTTGCAGTGCAGATTCAAAAAGTTGTTGATCGCGTCGAGGAGCGCCTAAAGTCTGGACAAAAATTCTGTTTAAAAACCCACTTTTCTGATCTTTTAGAGGGATCAACTCTGGCTAAGTTCAAAAGCTTCGTTTACTGGTTTAACGGTGAGTTTTATATCACCAACCACTGCAGACCAAACCAGTTCTTATCAACAAATCACTGGCTCTTTTGGTGTGCCGTGTTTCCAGTATTTATTATGGCTTCACTTCCCTATCGCATCGCAAGGAAAGCTTGTATTTATGACGAAGAGATAACTTTGCAAATAAGATTGAAGTTGACTTTTTGTCCAGAAACTGTCCTTGTACTGCATTTTTACTGTGTGGATAAACCGTTGCCCGGACGTTACCTTACAAACGAGAAATTGTTTATAGAACGTGAATGTTCTTCCACTGAACTTAAAAATTTAGTTTGTTTTGATGCTAAGAAGCTCAGGAAGCATGAACGATGTAGTTTTCGTTTGAAGAGGATTAAGCACAAACTGATTAGTCTATTAGAAGTGGTAAGAAAGAATAAAGCCAAATGAACCAAACCATTCTCAGACTTGAAAAGGTACAGCTTTAGAACAAATGTCATTGTTGTTTCTTAGCGGAACTCTTCCGCAAATTTTGATAGAAATCAAATAGATGGAATAAAAGATAGATAACAAAGTTCTTGAAATAAACATAACCTTTGGAACATTTCACCTGTTTAATCTCAATAAAGAATGGAAAATCTAAGAGATGCGTAACTTCTGAACACTCATTTAACCTTACGTGAAAGAAACAAAGGATCACTTGAAATGTTTGAGGCACCCTGAATTGGTCTCTCAAAACGATATTCCCGCAAGTTATGACAAACTCTCTCGAGATCAGGGTTTAAACACATCACAGGAAGTTTCTTGTTCTAATTTTGAAGTGTTATAGTCTAGGACCTCTTGCGACAGAGGGCATCTAAAAATGTGATTTCTGGGGCAGTGTTTCACTGTTGTAAAACTAGAACAGCAATTAGCGCCAATTATCTGCCATAATCCGTATTCCGCAAAAACTAGTTATAGCTCACATGCTTTGCGTGTTCACCGTCGCTGGTACTGAACAACGGGTCCTTGCACGTCTTGCATGGCAAGGTTTTTGGCAAGCTTTGTGGGTGTTTGAAAATGTGAGGGCACCCCGTCAGAAGAAACCGAACCTAGGTATTCATGGAAGCGTGTGAAAGTGCAAGGAAATTTGCATACCTTACAAATCTTCTCACACACCTACACCCATCCTTTCAGCTTTGTTTCTTTTTACGTTCTTTCCTTCTTATCCAATTGAATTTGTAAACCATAGCTATTTACATATGCTTCACTGGGTGTTATGCATGCAACTAACAATTTACCGACTTATTTTATGAGTGAGGAAGATGTAAGACGCATCGATACAAGTTTTTCGAATAATGAAGTTAAGGGATGTTTTTGAGGCACAATGTAGATGTTTTCAGGGTTTTGAACCTGGGGAGATTGACTTTGCTGGAACTTAACAAAGACCTTCAACACTTTCCAAAGAAATAATGAACACCCGTTTTATGGGGCGCACTGGGTTATTTTCGGCTAAATATGAATCTTTGACCAAAATTTTTCCGAAGATGCATGCTAAATCCTTAATCAAGAATGTTACATCGAGGATGTCAGTGTAGTACTGAAACGCCCTCGACGTTTGTTATCCCCAGCTGAAATGTACATAAAAAAACAACACGAAAGCTGCAAGGGGCTGTGAAAGAGGGTAATGGTCAGGGCTATTCTTGCAAAAAAAAAATCCCTTGGTAAAATTAAACCGTTAGGCGTGCGGCACCTTTCCCATATATCCTAGACACACCTTCGCTCTGAAGAAGGGCTGACGCTCGAAACTTTTAACTGGGGCCAATTCACGTTATAAATTCAATCGAACAAAACCAACTTAGGCAAATTACACGTGTCGCACGATCGACTAGCTTCATGTCACGTGCGCTGCAAGAGGGGTGTTCAGACAGCCTGTTCTACTTGTCCATAAGGAGGGTGATAGGTAGGCAGAAAGAAAGGAGAGGAGATTTGCGTCGGGTCGCTGGCTTCATCAGAGCTTCTCTCCTTTTTTTCCGCTCTGTCCAACTAATGCGTTATTTTAGACTACCAAAATCTCCCTGTTAGCCCGCAAAATGCGCTATGATGCGCGACAGAGAGAAAATAAAGTGCACTAAGTTAGCAGGGTCAGTTATGCAGTAAATTAGAATTTACATTATCATTCTCATGATTATCTTCGCCATCTTCCAAGTCTTCAGCCTCTGAATCCTGCACCTGATAATAATCTTTTGACTCGTCCATTTCGTTAAAATCAAAATATTCAGCTTCTTGATGCATCAGCTCTTCTAGCCTTCCAACCATCTCTTGAAAACTAGGCCGTTCATCTTGGTCTTGTTTCCAACAATCCAAAATCAAAGAGTAACTGAGACAAAAATACAGGACAAATTGAAGCACTCCGATTAAAATATCAAATAGTCTCCAAACCTCAGCACACCGGAAATTTTCTCTAATTCGCCATGTTGAAGAGACTTACAAAAGTGATCTCGAGCCAAAACCTAGAGCTGGAGCACGGTGTGTGGATACCGTAAGAATAATGGGTGACTATTTTTTTCTCAGTTCGTGAGCGGGCGGTATTCTACAAATCCTGCAATCTGATTGGTTCCGAGAGTGGGCAGTATTGTCCCCATCCGGCCCGCTCACAGCGGGCGGTTCTTTTCGCAACCATTGGTTAGGTTTTAGGAAAAAATAAAAATGTTATTCACCAGCCAAGGTCGGTCCGTATTGGGAAAAACTGTGCCTTATGTCATGTGTACCGCCCGGGGTCGTGGGCCTCGGGCGGTATCCAAGACCTCGGGCACAGTTTTTCCCAATACGGACCTCCCTCTGGTGAATAACATACTTAGCTTTCCGTGATTTAAAGTAGGTTTTCAATAAGAGAGGAATATTGAAACGTAATTTAATTCAACAGGAAATTAATTGATCGCAAAACAAATCAACTTACACATGATCTGAGCACAAATCAGGTTTTTCCATGCGGTAACCTGTCTTCAAACGTCTCATGACCTCTGTATTGGTTAACAGTGGATATGGAGAACCACCTAGAAAATACAGATTTAAGAATAAATGAAAATAAATTAGAGCGTTGTGGAAGGTTGCTTTACGTGGATATGCGGACTTTGCATCATCCCATTACAACGCAAAATCAAAAATGGTAAGGGCTGTGAAAGCCGTTCGGGACAAAAACTAAGGAGATTTATAGACAGCTAGATAGAAAAATGTAGTACATTCGAGAAATTTTTAGTAACAGGAATCCTCGTTCAATTTATTTTGTTGAATTATGATATCCCATTATGACGCACAATTGGAAAAGATTGGATTTTGATTCAACGAGATGTAATGTGATCTGTGTGTTGTGATTGTTATTGTTATCTTAAGTTAGATCACAGGGCGCCCAAGCTCTCGATAAGAGGATAACAGTATAGAGCTTTTTATAGGGGGTTAGGCCCCGCTCTATAGTTCCGTAGATAGTAAAGTAATTAAACTCTTTGTAGTGTTTCTTTCTTCGTGAGCTATTTTTGTTCTCTAGTAGCGTTTTTAGGCCCTCGAGGCGAGTTTTAAGGTAATAGTATCCCACTACTGCTTGAAGTAAGAAGAATGAGACTTAGAACAGGCAGCAGTGGGATGAGAGCTCAGCTAAAACTCGACGGAATGGCCTTAAATTGCTACCAGAGAACACATAACACAAGCAACACTACCCAAAGGTTAATTAGAGTTTATTTACTTCATTACTTACGGAGTTACATAGCGGAGTTTAAACTCTCATACTAAACCCTGTAATATCTGTCCCTTTCATAAAGAGATTGGGCCCCCTCTGGTTAGATTACCGACAGTCGCGATTTCCCACATGACTACTCCATAAGACCAACTGTAAAATTAAGAAAATGAATAAATCTATTAGGTTAGAGGATAGACATATAGTATATATACATCATCCAATGAGTCGAATTTATTTTGCACCATAATATGCTACACTTCTTTTAAGAAAAATACTATTATCTTCTGTCATCGTCCTTAAGTGATAATTATCATTACTTTAATTTTTTATTATAATTACCATCTTTGTCGTCTTTGTCAACAGTTATCATTGGTTTGTAGTCGCTGTCGTAACTTTTATCAGTTTAGCGTCATAGAATCATCTGTTTATTTCTGTTTACCTTAACCCTTTACATCCTAACATCAGTATGCATATTCTCCATACTGTTCTCCATACATTTCTAAAGAGGCTGACAAGGAGAATTTGTTTAACAATCAAGAGCTGCTTTAGTTGGTCATCTTTTCTATTCTCATGACTTTCATGTTTGATTCAGGGAGGATATAGTAAGGAGAAATTAAATGCCGGTCACTTTTACTAGCTAAAGGGTTAAAAATTCACAGACACGTCTTAATTACTTTTGTTATTATTATTATTAATGTCTATCATCATTTTTGTCATTATTATTATTATTATTATTATTATTATTATCACTATCATCTCATTCGTCATCATCAACAGGTATCATATGTTTGTTGTCGCTGTCATTGCATTACTTCTGGTTTCGTTAAACAACCACAAAAGTAATAAAGTTACTTACATGTCACTTTTTGACGTAAATATCTGCCTATAAAGTGACTCAGGCGCCATCCATTTGATTGGTAGCTTTGTATGCTTTTTTACCTCATACATTTCATGGTACATTTCTCGCATTAGACCAAAGTCTGAAATCTTGAGCCGTTTGCTGTGTCCAACTAGAATGTTTCTTGCCGCAAGATCTCTATGGACTAGCCCCTTTCCGGAAAGGTAGGCCTGACCAATAAGATAGTGAAATTAATTTGATGATTGCCGTAAGGGGAGGAGATCCTTATTGGGAAAGTACTTGAGACTGATTCGAAACGGGAACGTTGGACGATGTTCTCCTTGCCGAATTTGCAAAACTATTCTAACTGAGTAAAGAGAGTAAGTTTCTAAAGAAACTGTGGTGCTGCGTCGGTGGGATAGTATAACAGGGTGAATTGGTATTATCAACGGAGTTGATAACGAAAATTGGCCCCGTGGCGTTAACCCTTCGTCAGAGCGAACGACGAAGGGCTTATATTATAATCTTAATCATCGAGGTATTTTATTTCTTAGGGGTATTAATGAATACCGAAATGAATATTAATTATTAAAGCCAAAAACACGGTCCCTGCATGCACTTAAGTCTCGCCCTACCATGCCTTTTGCGATCTGCCAAGCCATGGACATGAGATCAGCCGGAATAAATGACTCGCAATCATCACTGCACTCATCGTCTTTCTTCTCCGGCAAAGCGTCACCCTCTTGCAGCTTAGTGGAGAAAACAACCAGAGGAATTTTAGCTTCAGTTGGTTGTGATGTGTCACCAGGAGAAGGGGCAGAGTTGCATGCCTCTGGTATGTTCTTGCCTCGTACATCACTGACCTGATCCAAAAGATAGGTTCTTAAAATTAGGTTATGGAACATAATGTGTTAAGTACTTGAAACACCTTCTAATTTTCGGCTTAGAGCCTCTCACTAGAAGGGCAGAATTCTTTTACTGACCAAGTTTAAACTAAATTGCAACAAAAGAACTCTTTATTCTCCTCAAGGATGCATTCGTCAATACTCCAAACGTCGTATGTTTAAATCTGCTTCAATTATTCCATAATCATCTTTTTGGCTGTTTTTTTTATATCTCTATCCTTTTATAGAACGTCCAGAATTGCAGTGTTTTATTCCACTCTTTGCCTCCAAGCGCTGGACAATCATTCTTTATTCCTATTCTGTTGCCCCACATAATGCCTTTTACTGTAACTTCTTCAGTTGTTAAACAGATATAACCATGAATCGCAGCTCAGTACCATTTGGGGGAAATGCATAAGAACCCTCCTAAGTGTCCTACTAATCAAAAGTTGATTGCAAATTTATTTTTTTTACCTCTCCTGCAGTTGATTTGAGATTCGTGCTTTCAGCATAAAAACTAATTCCCTCTGGGCAGCTGCTGGTGGAACTGTTAATCTGTAACGGCGACGAGAGGTCATGAGTTGTCTAAATTTACACAGTTTACCTTCGTTCTCTCTTCCTTTTTGGTCTCATTGTGTGAAGGAAAGGAATAAAATACAAAAGTTCGATCTGATCGGTTTCTACGTTGAATTATGCTCGCCCCTCCGAGTGGATTATTTTCGTTGAGCTATTAAATGATTGGCATAAATGATGGATATTTTGTAATTTTCAACATTCGAAACAATGGAGAACATCTTAGTGTGCAAAGATAAAAGAGGAAGGATGTGCAAAATATGAGATTCTAACCGTGTTGTTGTGGTAAAGCAAAATAACTTTGGAGAAATGCAGACATTACCTAGCTAATTAGAGAGTGGTGTTTGAGATGTTTATTATTATTAATATTATTATCATTATTATTATTTATCAGAATTACCTGGACCCTTTTCCTTTTCAGCCATTGAAGCAAATCTCCATGAGCTACATACTCGAGCATCAGAAGAAAAGGTTCGGTTGTGGTCCAACAACCTAGGAAACTCAACACATTCTGGTGTTTTCCCACTTGCTTCATGAGGTCAATCTCTTCTAAAAATTCTCTCCTTTGCTCCTCGTCAGCGCGTTCTTTTTTGATAAGCAAACAAGGGCTCATTAAATTACAAACATTATTTCAGAATTGTTTTGAACATATTTGCATCCTTATAATATTAGTGGTTTTAATAATGATCAAATATAAGGACTTCATTTTGATTTTTTAAAATCGTAACGTGAATTTTACCAATGGTCTGCGTTTAATATGTGGTAAAACTAAAGCAAGCAAACATAAAAACATTAACGTTAATTAATTCCATCATACCATGTAATTCTTTCACTGCTACAGTCTTTGACTGCTTTTTTCTTCCAAAAAATTTTTCATCGTTTGCAAAAAGATCCAAACTATCCTTAAGTCTTGCTTTGTGAACTTTTCCAAACGCTCCTTCGCCCAGTGCTTCGAGAAATTCTATTCTGATCGGATGGATTTCGGACTGCTCCAAAACCTGAAGGTCTTTGGCAGTTCTTTATTGGAAAGAATACATCTTTATTTAGAGACATATTTAAGTATAAACTAAACTTGTACTAATTAGCTCCTCGTTCGATATTCGGTCTTGTTCTTAGCCGTTATTAGGAGAAACTTGGAAGTGAAGTTACTTCATTTGACCTGCTGCATTCTTTCTCTCTTAGAACGAGCGTTCCTTTGCCATTTTAGATCCTGTACAGCGATTCAATTTCTAAGTATCTGAAAAAAATAATAATTACGTATACCTTTTTGAACTTTTAGTCGCCTGATTCTTGTGGAAATACCAAAAGCCAATGACCAGTAGGATAAAGACCAAGAAACCCAAACAGGCGATCAGCGCTCCTATTAGATTGGTCATAATTGAGGAATCTACAAGGTAAATAAACAAAGCTATGACCTTAACAGCATTAGCAAACTTTTCAGGCTAGATATATCCATATCTTTTGTTATCTCATTTTGAATTTATTGCATAACATATCCTAGCTCCTATGGAGAGCAAGAGGCTTTTGCTCGTTTTATGTCCATACCTGATGGGTGATGTTTCGCAGTCGTCTGGTCAAAGTCAGATTGAACATCTTCTGTAGTTGCCTCATGTCTTGTAGAATTGGCACTCCCTCCTAACAGGTTCCAAGCCCTGGACTGAAACTCATAAGTCGTGGTGCAATTCAGTTTGATGGTGACTTGATTGACTGTAACGTCCGTAATATTTATCATAGCCCACTCGATGGCATCAGGGGGTGCACATTTTTTTCTGAAGCTGATTGTGTAGAAAAGTATTGGGCAGTTTTTTGACTTTAGCGTGGTCCACTTTAAGGTCACATTGCATCCTGACACTTTCCGTTCAATTATTTCAGGTGTGCCAGGCTGGTCTGAAAATTTTAAGAGAAAAGAGCGGAATACCTGTATGATGCTTTTTTTTATTGACATAATCGTTCAAAGTTTACTATTACGCCGTTAAGCATAAGATAAGGAGAGTTTCTGTTTTAATTGAGAGTATTTTTAGAGATGACAGAGAGAAATATTTTGTTATCACAGATATATAATACCGAAAAACACAGTTCAGGCTTTTCCCTTTGATTGGGTCATTCATTCCATAAAGCAAATAAATTATGTTCTAAATATGTATTTAATCCACTACAGGAAGTTCTTTTCTTCCCTCTAGAATGACTGAAAATCCTTGGTTGTTTAAGGTATTATTACTGTTATTTGCTAAGTGATGTATGAAACAGGTTTTTTTTTTTTTAATCATAATTCATTATTGAATAATGATGATGATTGCTCTGTATACCTGCTTCTTCTGTAGAAATTTGCAATACGCTGGAGGGCAAACTGTATCCTATTTTATTTTTTGCAAGGACTCTGACGTCATAATTTGTATACTGCGTCGAGTTAGTAAACAAACAAGACATTGGATTTAAAACGCTGAAACATGTGCAGTTGATCCAAGATCCTTTAGACTTAGTCCTTTTTATCTGAGGTACATAGAGGGTAACTGGATCTCCGAGTGCCCCTCGCGTTGGGGGACTCCAAGATACGTTGATGATGTTGCACTGTTCAAGGATTGGCTGATGCAAGATTGGTTCATACGGCACATCTGTAAGTATCGTAGATATGAAAACAACACTCAACGCTGGGATAAATGTGTAAAAGGTATGTGAAAAGAATGATCACCTTGTAGCTGTCATTACTTTACTTCCTTTGCGAAAAAAGTCAATATATATTTCATCAAAATATATGGCCAGTGATATAAATAAGTAGATTATAACTCTATAAAATACCGGTAATTTCCTCTTCATTAAAGTAATAGTCATAAAAAAAAATCAGAAGAAAAAAATTTTCTGAGCGATTATAGGCTCCTTGTTTGACTTTATTAAATAGGACATATTTACCAGCATTGTAAGGCCAGATATCCACGAGTAAATCTAAAACAAACAGCAATCAACCATTCAAGAGATTGATCTCGCGCAATTGCCTCGGAGACATGTATTACCCAGCAACACAGATTTTGAACCATGTGATGTGAAGGGCTTTTATTTGATTTGCACCATGGCGAAAATTTGAAATGCAGACCTTGATTTCATATTTAGCACAATAATGTCAGTACCTTGTGCTGTTCTTGGTTCCCACGCTTTGCTGCTTTCGCTTGGTCCCAGTTTGTTCCAAGCAACAATTATGACTTCATATTTCTTGCTGTATTTAAGATGCAGTTCATAACTTGTTATTCCCGAAACGTTTAATTGCTTCCAACCATTGACACTTGGTTCTGTCTCTCTGTAGCAAATGGAGTACATGGTAATGTTGCAATAATAGTGTTCAGGAGAAGTCCACTTCACGGAAGCATTTCTTCCAGAAATTGTAGAATTGTCGTACAAAATCTTAGGTGGATCAGGTGGACCTGCAACCCAGTTGAACATACTAGCTTGATTTATGAGAGAAAAAGCACTAAAAAACTCCAAATGCAGCTTTGCTACACTTATAAAACTACTTCGAAGAGATTGTTCAAGTTATTTTATAAACTATCCGAGAGTCCGGATAGCTGAAACTATCAATATTAATGAGCCAAAATAAAATTGCATGAGAATCATGCAATCAATATTACGCAAGAATTAAAGAAACTTTTAAATCTTTGGCATCATTGCCAAAATTTTCCACTAAGTGTTTATTAAAAAAAGGTTCTACAGGAACGACGTTTTGACTTAAATCAGTGTGTTTAAAGCTGCTAAAGCGTGTGCACGTCGCTAATTCTATAATTGTTCGAAGCTGCACTCATGGAATAGCATCATGATTGTTTCACTGTATCTGCTCTGTTTGGTGGATTTCGATCACCAAGAAGAAAGACGTATCTCAACACGTGATTTTTTGTGATAATTCTATGTACGTTTGAGATCGCCAATCAGTGAAATAATTCTATAGTTCAACAACCATGATGCATGTAGATAAGTGGCTTGGAAGATTACAAAAACACTCATACAAAGACCAAGGGTAATGCAGCTACGTTGAGGGCATTTCTACAGTTTCTCGGAAAATGAAAAAAAAAAAGGATTTACTTTTTACTACCAACAGGATTAGACAGCAGGTTAGTTCTAAAAGAAAATTTTCGCTCTAATATTATTAAGCCCTATCGCTCACTTAATTACTTTCCATTGAAGCTCAGCTTTTTCCTTTTGACTCTTCACTTTTCCCATCACTAGCAAGGTTATAATCTCCTAATATATATTTGAATCTTTAATGAAGTTGACCTGTTCCTGTTAGTTTGTCAGAGAAACAAAATAATGTATGGTTGCTTGAAGATGCGGAATTCCTCCTCTCAGGTTGAATTTGATAACTCCCTCATTTACGAGATACCTAATTAATTAAAAAACTCGTAGAGTGTATCCATGTATACGCGCAATCATGTATTATCCTCTATTGTTGTCATCAAAGCACTTGACGACAATGTGCAAGACTTTTTTTTTTCTAGTGAAACGCATATACAAATGACTACAAGGTTGTTTTTAAAATGACCTCCATGCACAATGGCCAGACCTTGTTATCATTATCTGATAGATATCAGCTTAAATCATGCGACCTGCTTTTAAAAGCATGCAAGGTATTGATTGTATAAAATTATATAATTGTATAAAAAAAGAACTGAATGACTCTACCGTGCAAATTACTGTTTACGAAAGCATTTGCATCTTTTGGAAACGATTTTTAAACGATTGCTTGAAAGCTTAAATTCGATAAATTTATCTGGATCTGTTAATTATCCACTTAACCACAAATAATGATTCATTAACTAGGAGAAAGAATGAATCGCCATACCAGATCACTTCTTGTTTTACCCGCAGTAATTGTATTACTTACCTACTCTTCCTGCCGTAAATGTTCGGTTCGCCCAGTGACTCGGCCCTTTCTGGTTGACGGCTCTTACGCGAATATCATAGGTATTCTTACTCAGTGAACCATTGATCGAACAGGAATAATTAACATTTGAAAGATCATACGTGCAATTATTCCAGTTCAGGCTATTCCTCTTTCTAATCTGCGCTTCGAAACCAGTTATTGGACCTCCACCAGAATCTGAAGGTGATCTATTCCCCAAAACCTCTACAATACCACATTGCTTTCTTTTGATAACTGTTATCGACGGTGTAAACGGGAAACCTAACAACACATTCATGATTAATTAAAAACTAACATACAATAACTCATTTCTCAATGCATAAGAATCGTCAATGTGCATTGCTTTTTCTGGTCTTTTGATATTGTGCCCCCGATCAAAGCAACCTCTACTCAACACATATCGGATAAGGGATGACTTTATGAAGGAGACACACAGAAAGTTCTTCGTGTATGTCCACTCCACGCTATCACTCTTTCCTTTGCCACGCTTCGTAGATGTTAAGTTTAAACTTCTCTTTTCTTCACTTTAAAATGATATATTGATGATGCCCCTGGGATGATACCGCCATGTCTTATGTGTGCATTTATTTAAAACAACAACAACAACAATATGAACAAGAATAAAAACAGCTAATAGGCCATTTGCAGTTGTGTACTTCGTTGCCAAGCCTTTGATTTGGACTGAAAGTGATCCTGTTGTAATAGAGACCTGTATCTACTTAGCATGATAACAAAGTAATTTGCACTCGAAAAAGCTCGAAAAGCAGCAAGGTTTATATCATAACAAAGTCAATCTTAGCCTCACTCCTGTTCAAAGGCTTGGCAACCAAGCACAAAACTGTAAAATGGACCATCCTGTTTGGTGAGAAATTTAATTTTGATGGAGCATTTTCAATGGTGTATACCGATGAAATCCGTATCTTTACCTTCTTCGGTAAGTACTGATAACACAGAGCTTTCATTGAAGTCGTTATGTCCCCTTTGATTCCAGGCCGTAACCATGATTTCATATCTCTGGGCACAACTCAACAAGAGACGATATTTGTTTGCCCCTTTGATGATTTTCACGACCCACACGCTGCTATTGGCCGACATCCTTCCAGTAGTTGACTCCTTATAGTAAATCGCGTACTTAGTGATTGGGCAGCTTTGGTTCACGACTATATTCCACGACAGGTTGGCACTGCAGCCAAACGGTTTCGCTTGGACTTTCAACGCGGCTGGTACATCTGTAATACAATTTGTAGAGGTAAAAACATGATTTTGAACGCAATTTGTTGTCAATAAGCACGAGCCCGTAGGGCGAGTGCAATTTACGGTCTTTGAAGCGCTTATTTACACAAAATTGCACTAAAAATCATGTTGTTAATTGTTAATAATTTACATAAAAAATGCATCCCAGAAAGTCAAGACGGACAAAATTTTTGGCAGCGCGCTATTTGTAATTGCATTCATGTTACAGCTTTCCACTTGTGTTACAGGAAAAAAGCACTCCAGTGTTATAAGCAAATCAGACGCGCGTAATTTTCTTCATGTATATTATTAACAAGGTTATATGCATATTAAAGACACAGTTGTCGCACGTGGCACCATTATTGTTGTAAATGCTTCATAGGCAAGTTACATCTAGTCCCAACGGCGATTTCAGTCAGAGAGACTTTTATCAAATATCAAATTATACAAACTATCGCCTTCAGAAGATGAACATGTCTCGGTAAGGATATTTTCAATGGTTTCATTTCGATCTTACCTGCGGCCGTCGTTACTTGTTCTCTTGCCCAAAGACCAAATCCGTTTGAATCTCTTGCTCGAACACTGAGTTCATAAACTGCATTGATCTCGAGTCCGTCAAATTCGTGGGAAAAAACTTTGCCGGAGAAATTAGACATGTGCTTGGATTTTCCATTGAATGATCTCAAAGTAACTTGGTAACCATTCACTTCACTCTCGATCAAAAGTGGACGTTTCCACTGCAGCTTTATAGCGCGTCCACACTTATAAGAATCCGCCCTGACAATTTGGGGTGGTGGTGGCGCTGAAAAATTTAACAAACCACTTAACGATGACGAGGAGATCAATATAAGAAACAAAAGTAACAACACATTGACCAGTTGAACAATTCACATCTAAATGGCATCATATACAATGATGAGACTGACAATTGAAATAAAGCTTTCGATGGCACTTGTTCCGAGTTCCGCTGTCACCCAGGTTTCTTCAAAGTAATGAAGTGGAGACTGCTAAAGTCTCTCGAGAATGTAATGGTGTTAATAATAATAACATAATAATAACTTTATTGATATAGCGCTCGTATCCTCTGCTCAAGGCGCTTTACAATCGTACGAAATCATGCAATATTTATAAAAATTTACAAATTTACAACCATATCCTATTATATGATACTTAAACATAGCTAAAATTCATACTTATTAAAAAAGAAAAACAAAACTTAAGCCAGCCAACTCTCATTATATAATACTTAAACAAAGCTAAAATTCACAATGATTAAAAGAGAAAATTAACTTAAAAATCATCAAAATAATCGAAAGCTTACCAAAGGAATGAAAAGATATTTCTCTTTTTGCAAATGGGATATTAGACTGTAGTATTACACAGGTGTATTGTCCAAAATCCTCACTGGAAATGTTTGTTATACAAAGAATTGTAGATCCTCTCAACAGCTGACATACGTTGGGAGACTGAGTATCATTGGACACTTTGTGCCTTGCCGTGTCTTTTATTTCCCGGCCTTGGAACTTCCATTGCCAGTGGTAAGAAGGCAGGTGCTGATAATCCAGACCTTCAACTCGACATCTTAATGTAACTCTTGAGTTTGATCGAAATGCCTCGTAACTTGCAGTTAGCGTACTGAGAACTGGTGGGCCTTTGAAACACAACTCATATATTACTGGTTGCGTCTGAAGTAAGATTGATTTTCCCTAGAACTATCTGCTCTGATTCTGCACAAGCTGTTTATTAGCCTTTAATCATCCACGTGCAAATAGGATGGGCATCAATGGAACAAGTAAGGCATTTTTTTATCTGAATTTCTTAAAACAAACTAACTAATGCTGAATTCCTTCTCATAAATGATGGAGCTCCATCTCTGACACTCTTCAACAGTATTCTTGCTAGATCAGGACGGTCATGCGTACTTGGAGTCAATGTGGGAAAATGGAAGTGTTTTGTAGCTGGTAAGTAGCTTTTGTGGAGGTGTAAAACAATGGAAAATGAGAAGGGGTTATACAAGGAAAAAGTGTTAAATGTATAGAGCTCACATGCTATTTTTGTCCTTACTCAACTTATTATTACAAGTGAAGACAAATTAATATGCAACATACGAAATAGTCCCTTACAGGTGATTGACACTTCAGTATTACGCCTTGTTACTTTGAACTTGTTTTCAGCTTCGCATGTAAATTCTCCAACATGCTGAGGCTTTACCTCAGAAAAGTGAAGCGACAGAGTTATTGATTTTTCGGCAACTGATGCCCTGAAATGAACCGTTTCGTTAAGGTCCCCATCTTTAACTTGCTTGCCGTTCATCAGCCACTTGACTGTTGGAAGGGGCCAGCCTGATGCAACACAACGTAATTCAACTTTTCTTCCGGCGAAAAACCAGTTTTGATGCTTCCTAAAACGAACCGAAGGATTATCTGCCGAAAAAATCACCCAACTGTTTTAGAACAAGTCTTCAATGGAAAAGTCGTTGCTTAAACAGTAGCAACAAATCTTTTTATGATTGAAATGTAGCGTGACACCCTGGTAAAAAATCTAAGTCCCACGCCGTAAGACTTGAGGATTCTTTTGATAGAAACCATCCCCTAAAATAAATGAATTATCACATAATTCGATCTAACTTGCCAACTGGATGCTTTTTTGGCGAAGAAAGGATAAAAAAATCGTTCATCGTAGAGGAATCGAAATCCTTTAATTCACGAACAACAATGGTAACATCAGGAGCCACGGTAATTTCTGTTTCATCAACAGTCGTGGCATATCGAAGCTAAATACTTTGATTAGAAGTTTTATGTGAAATAATTCATATTTGTACTGCGGTTGTAGATGAAAGTGAAATGTGATCATCGCAGTAAATTTTCCAATTTAAGCAATTGGAAAGAAGAAGCCTGAAAAAAAATCAGGGCTTCAACGGGATTCGAACCCGTGACCTCCGCGATACCGGTGCGATGCTCTACCAACTGAGCTATGAAGCCACACATTGGGAGCGAGGTCAATTTATTGAGTTCATATCTTCCCTCACATTTCACATTTCACTTTCATCTACAACCGCAGTACAAATATGAATTATTTCATATAAAACTTCACATCATTTCACTGCACGGGAAGATATGAACTCAATAAATTGACCTCGCACCGGTATCGCACCGGTATCGCGGAGGTCACGGGTTCGAATCCCGTTGAAGCCCTGATTTTTTTCAGGCTTCTTCTTTCCAATTGCTTAAATTGGAAAATTTACTGCGATGATCACATTTCACTTTCATACTTTGATTAGTTAGCTTTTTAAAGAATATAAATTTATACCTACCCCGGCTTGGAAAGAAATTAACGCAATAACATAGCTTTAAAGCAAATACAGAGATGAATTGTATTAGTTTTAGTTAAATTTTTTTCCAGCTTACCAATGGCTTGAAGAATCATTTTAACCAGATATTCAACATTATCATGTAAAGTGAATAAGCTAATCTCATCAATTACGTCTTCTGCTCTCTCTGTAATCGTTCTCAGCATATCTACTGGAGCATTTATACCAAATCCGACGGCAAAAATTCGAACACCTTTTCGTCTTAGTGTATTCACAGGTACAGAAGGTGAGTTTGAAGGAGTCCTAGTAAACCCGTCGGCGAAAACAATTGTAATCTTAGATACGTTCTGCTCAGGATTCTTGAAAACTTTTCTCGATACCGCATTCAAAGGTAAGTTGATAAGTGAAAAACCCCATTCGAGAAATGGAAAGCCCTCTCCATTTTGTATAAATTGATTCAAATCAGATATAAAAAGCACACGACCACGGCTTGATGAAACTAATGAGATAGAGAGCTTAGCAACGTTTGGGGCAATTTTTCCCACAATTTTCATAATAATATGTCTTTGTAGCTCGAAATTTTCGGGGGATACACTTGCACTGGTATCCACGACGATTGCTATATCTGCTCTATCAGCGTAGTAGCTATCTTCTGCAAACAATAAGAAAAGGAGTATATTTATTTTGGCTCGCTGAATTGTGCAGTTGGAGTTAAACATCTCTTCAAAGATTTGGACAGAAAAGGAAGATATCTTAATGATAGCATAAAATGTACCATAAAGATGGGTAAATGAAATAGGCATTAGATATAGCGAGGAAGAGACTTGAGAGCTATATCCAGTCGGCGAATTGGGCAAAGAGAATAAATGGGTGAATTTGTGTATGAATGAAGTAAGTAATGGACGAACGAAATTTTCGGTGGTCTTTAGTAAAAAAATCCAGATGATTTCCGAACCATTCGGAAAAAAATGTTTAGACTGAAATAAAGCGACTTTGTTTATTCCTTAAATACAAAAATATTGTGTCTTAACAAATCACTTTCTCCCACAGGCTGGTTATGATGCTTTTTTTTTTTACCTGCAGCCGAAGATGGAAGTTGAGAACAAAGAAAGCACAACAGAATGGTGATAAAAACTGCCTGCACCTTAACCAAGGAAATCATCCTGAAACGAAAATCATTTTAAAATCAGTTTTCTGTCAAAAGCACGGCGGATGGTGCTCCCTCCCTCGGTTTACGTTCGATTTCTATTTCTTGAAAACATTGTAGCTTTAACAGGTGATGTCTTCAAGTATCAATATTCACATGATTTTGAGTTTAATTTGATATAAATAAGCAAGAGGACAATTTTTAGACTAACCGGAAAAATGAAATAAGCCCGAAAGGCGCTGAAATACGACTTGACATGTAATCTAAACAAATTAAGAAAGTCAATGATCAATGATGGTAAACGTCGGTATCACCCATGATTATGAAACCTTTACGTCTACAAGAACTCGACTGGCGTTTTTA